GAAAAAAAGCCTTAACATAGCTTAAAAAGAACCAGAATATATATTGAACACAGCCAGAATATAGCCTGAACCAAACTTAAACATAGAATATAACTTTAATAAACATAAATGTGGCCTTTAACAAACCTTTAACATAGTTTCAACATAACCAAAAACAACCTGAATATAACCAGTTTATATGCAGAACACAGCTCGAAAATAACTTGAACATAACCAGAATACAACAACATAGCTTGAACATAACCAGAATACAACAACATAGCTTGAACATAACTAAAACGTTGCTTAAACATAACTTGAACATAGCCTGAATATAGCTAGAACAAAGCTTAGGAATAGCTTAAATATATCTTAAACATTACTTGATATAGCCAGAACAAAGCATTAACTTAGCTTGAACGTAACCAGAATATAGCAAGATTATAACTGGAACAAAGATTTAACATGGCTTGAACTTAATCAGTATATAGCCGGGACACACAGCCTGAACATAACCAGAAAACAACCTGAATATAACCAGAATAAATGCAGAACAAAGCTTGAAAATAGCTTGAACAAAACCTGAACATAACATAGCTGGTAAAAAAGGTCTAACGAAGCTTAAACATAACCAGAACATTACTTGACTATAGCCAGAACATAGCTTGAACAAAGCTTGAATAAAACTAGAACATTCCTTTAATATAGCCAGAACAAAGAATGAACATTACCAGAACATATCTTGAACATAGCCAGAATAAAGCCAGAACAAACAAAGCTTTAACATAGCTAAAACCCAACCAGAAAATAACTTGAACATAGCATGACCATAACCAGTATATAACAAACATAGCCAGAAAAAAAAGCCTTAACATGGCTTGAAAAGAACCAGAATATATCTTGAACATAGCCAGAACATAGCCTGAACCAAACTTAAACATAACAGAATATTTGAATAAACAAATGTGGCGAGAACAAACCTTTAACATAGCTTCGACTTAACCAGAAAACAACCTAAATATAACCAGATTATATGCAGAAAAAAGCTTGAAAATAGCTTGAACATAACCTAAATACAACAAGAACATAGCTGGAACAAAGGTTTAACATAGCTTGAAGATAAGCAATGTTTTAGTTATGTTTTGGTTAAACATAACTTGAACATACCCAGAATATAGCTGGAACAAAGCTTAGGAATAGCTTAAATACATCTTAAACATAACTTGATATAGCCAGAACAAAGCATTAACTTAGCTTGAACATAAACAAAATATATATACTTAATCAATATATAGCCGGGACACACAGCCTGAACATAACCAGAAAACAACCTGAATATAACCAGAATATATGCAGAACAAAGCTTGAAAATAGCTTGAACAAAACCAGAAAATAACAAACATAGATGGGAAAAAAAGGTCTAACGATGCTTGAACATAAACAGAACATTACTTGACTAAAGCCAGAACATAGCTTGAACAAAGCTTAAATATAACTAGAACATTCCTTTAATATAGCCAGGACAGAGAACATTACCAGAACATATCTTAAACATAGCCAGATTTACATTAGCTTCAACATAACCAGAAAACAACCTGAATATAACCAGATCATATGCAGAACACAGCTTGAAAAATAGCTTGAACATAACCAGAATATAACAACAACATAGCTGGAACAAAGCATTAACATAGCTTAAACATACCTTGAACATAGCCAGAACAAAGCTTTAAGCTTGAACGCAACCAGAATATATCCAGATTATAACTGAAACACCGATTTAACAAGGCTTGAACTTAATCAGAATATAGCCGGGACACAGCCTAATCATAACCAGAAAACAACCTGAATATAACCAGAATAGATGCAGAACACAGCTTGAAATTAGCTTAAACATAACAAGAACATAGCTGGAACAAAGTTAACAGATTAAACATAGCCTAAACATAACTTTATATAGCCAGAACAAAGCTTTAACATGGCTTGAACATAACCAGAATTTAGCCAGAATGAAGGTTGAACATAACCTGTACAAATAAAAGTGTGTGTCGGTAATAAACTCTACTGAATGACTGCCTCAGTGTATTATAGTATAACCCTCACCTCCAATCACAGGCAGTTTGGCGTTCTCGGAGCGGGACACGACGATGGGCAGCCCGGTCACACTGAGCACTAGCATATCCAGAAAGCTGCTGTGCGGCGCTACGGCTAACACCGGCGCCTCCTTCAGCCCCGCCTGCCGACCTTTGACCCTGACCCACAGGAAGCCCACGCAGAAGAAGACGGCGCGGCTCAGGAACACCATGACGTGGTGGAAGAGCCAGCGGCGCCAGCCCCGCACCGGCTCCGCCCGCCGCGACTCCGGCAGACCAGCCAATCGCAGACGAGCTATGGGCCACATCAGCAGGAAGAAGAGCACGGCGAGAGTGATGCGCACAGGAAACAGAAACACACCCAAAACGAGTCCCTGAGACACACAGAAGAAGAGCGTCAGAAATATTCGACAGAAAATGCATATTAATGAGGGTGAGGCAGTGGCGCAGTAGGTAATGCTGTCGCCTCACAGCAAGAAGGTCGCTGGGTCGAACCTTGGCTCAGTTGGCGTTTCTGTGTGGAGTTTGCATGTTCTCCCTGCATTCGCGTGGGTTTCCTCCGGGTGCTCCGGTTTCCCCCACAGTCCAAAGACATGTGGTACAGGTGAATGGGGTAGGCTAAATTGTCCGTAGTGTGTGTGTGTGTGTGGATGTTTCCCAGAGATGGGTTGCAGCTGGAAGGGCATCCGCTGCGTAAAAGCTTGCAGGATAAGTTGGCGGTTCATTCCGCTGTGGCGACCCCAGATTAATAAAGGGACTAAGCCGACAAGAAAATGAATGAAAGCATATTAATGAGGGCAGTGTTTCCCAACCCTGTTCCTGGAGGCACACCAACAGCACACATTTTGGATGTCTGCCTTATCGGACCTCTTAACTTCAGGGAGCTCTTTCATAAAGGTTGATTAGAAAAGCGGAGATTAAAGTCCAAAGCCTGACTAGAATGAGCTGAACTAAACGCCCACGCTTAAATAGGTAACAGCAATCATTTGATCTAACTAATCAGAGTTCAGTCTAAATCAGGGGTCACCAATCTCGGTCCTGGAGGGCCGGTGTCCCTGTGGGGTTTAGCTCCGACTTGCCTCAACACACCTGCCTGGATGTTTCAAGTATACCTAGTAAGAGCTTGATTAGCTTGCTCAGGTGTGTTTGATTAGGGTTGGAGCTGAAATCTGCAGGACACCGGCCCTCCAGGAACAAGTTAGATGACCCGTAGTCTAAATAATCTAGATAAGTGCTCGTGCACGTTACTGACGTGAAACCTTTGACACCGCATAGGAAAATATCTATGTTCAATATATATCAATTTTCAATATATATTAAAGTGAGGCTACTCATATACAAGAACACGCCTCACAGATCTCTCTTTTAATTGAATGTTTTCTACAGCATGCTTTACAGTAATATATTAGTGCGTATACATTAGATTATTCAGTACCAAAGCAAAGTTTGGATCTAATAAAACAAATAATAAACTGAAGATCAGTCCAGTGCAGGTGAATTGGGTAGGCTAAATTGTCCGTAGATATGAGTGTGAAAGAGTGTGTGGATGTTTCCCACAGATGGGTTGTAGCTGGAAGGGCATCCACATATGCTGGATAAGTTAGCGGTTCATTCCGCCGTGGCGACCCCTTATTAATAAAGGGACTAAGCCGACAAGAAAATGAATGAATGAATGGATATGTTAATATGGCTTATTTCTGAAAATCAACACTAAAATGTTCTGCTCGTCTATAAAAAGCTTCTTGATTTAAGATTGTTTAGATATTTGGACTAGAAACAAGACAACAATCTGAGTAAGAGAAGCGTTTTCTGCAGTGTGTAACTTCACTAAAGTTTTAAAGGGATCGTTCACACAAACAAGTGTCCTCAAGTGTTTCCAGACCTTTATGAGTTTCTTTTCTCTGTTGAACACCAAAAGCAGATAATTTGAAGAATGTTGGAAAACAGTAACCATTGACTTGCATAGTAGGAAAAAACAAATACTACAGAAGTCAATGATTACAGGTTTCCAACATTTATCAAAATATCTCCTAGCGTTCAGTAGAAGAAACAAAATAAATGATGACGTTATTAATGACATTACTGTGCCTTTAAGCTGAGCATTGTATAAATGCCATTATTACACTGCAGCATGTGTAGGCCCACACGGAATCTGCACGCGCAGAACTACGCAGATTTTTAGCCATAATTAATTCTGTTTATTTACTTGAGTAAATGT